AGGGAGTGCCGGGGAGGCCGGCACCATGCGGCGGCCGTGGGGCGCGCTGCTGCTCGGCGCCCTGCTCTGCGCTCACGGTAAGCGGCGCCGCCCTCCAGCCCGGCCCGCGGGGAAAGTTTGTCCCAGGACCCCGACTCCTTGCCCCGGAGCGGGACGGCGCGGGCTGGGGCCTGGGACCCTCGCGCGCGTGCCTAGCGGGAGCCCCGGGATTGCGCTCGGGAGGGGACCCGGAGGAGCTCCCCCAGAACCCCCAGGGCGAGAGAGGACTGAGGTAGAGGCGCAGCCCTGGACTCCGGTCCCGCCTGAGATCTTTAAAGAGCTGCAGTCTTCTTCCTTTCGGGCTGAAGACAGGGTCTCTGTGTCCTTGGTGCGTTACATGTGTGCAAAGAAAGAGTGGCGGGGAGAGTGGTCGCCAAGCCGTGCACTGCAAGCAGCCCTCCTTCCCAGGGCGGGGGTCTCGCATGGGCTGCACCGGGGGCCCCCGCGGAGTCCGAGGTCCTGAGCGCCGGCGATGCCTCCACGCGAGGATCGCAGCCTTCGCTCCAGCCCAGCCTCTCGCCCGGGGGCTCCGGGCTCCGCTCGCTCGCAGCATCTCCCCTTAGTGGTGTTTTGGGTTCCCTCTCCTGGCTGCGGCCAATCAGCTTCCTGCCCCGGATCCTCCCCAGGAGAGGGGTGGGGGACCGGGCTGGAGAAGGGGCTGAGGAAGAAGCTTGGGAAGAAACTGCTGGAAGGCGCCCTCGAGCCGGTGCTGGCTGGGGCAGGGGGCCTGGCGCGGACGTCGCTGGACTCCTCCAGAAGCTTCCCTGCCTCGGCCTCGGGGTCGCTGGGCGCATGGCAGCCGGACTCGCGGTTTCATCTGCTCCTTATTAATAACGCGTTCGGTGCCCGAACGCCGGTGCTGTGGCCATCAGGGCTCCGGCGGCGGAAGCTGTTTCTCCGCTTACCACCGTAGGTGCACCCCGCGATGGAGCAGCTGCCTCTTATAAGTTAGAACTTTGATCTTTGAACCCCAACCCTATTCACCCAGCGCTATTCAGCCCGGGGGCGGGGTGTGTGTGTGTGTGTGTGTGTGTGTGTGTGTGTGTGTGTGTGTGT